TACTTAGGCCCTGTCTAATAATCCAATTCAACATTTAAAATTAATAGGTTCAGATTTTAATATGTTCAGACATGTTTGATAATTAAAATTAAAATATTTGAATTAATTAAGTGGCACTAAATTTTTTAAGCATAATTTGCTCTAAAAAAAAGTGATAAACTATTCATTTTATTACTTAGGGTGCGTTTGATAAAACTAAAATTTGAAAACTGAAGTTTGAAATCTGAAATCTAAATTATGAATTCATTAAGTTATTGAATTGTTGAGTAGTATACGTTTGAGTGTATATCAATTTAGTGATAAGTGAATAGTTTAATTTTGGAAGTAAGTTTTACCTAGAAAATTCAGTGCCCCTTAATTAGTTTGGATGTTCAATTTTTTTGTTATCAAACGATCTGAATATATTAAGATCTGAATTCATTAAATTAAAATGCTGAACTTTGTTTTGAGGTTTGAGGTTTGAGGGAAGGGGAGGAAAGGAATAGAAGATTTTTGTTTTCATATTATATGAATTGAGTTTTGAGGAGGAAAAAGTAGAGTTTCTCTTTAAATTTAGTTTCCATCAAAATGTGGCTCGTAAAAAGAAAAAAGAGACCTTCGTTTTTATAATTAGAACTACTTCAAATGTATAATAAAGAAATGGCTTTTCTTTTTGCTTTTTTTTTCCCTTTCTTTCCTTCTCCAAACATTATATTGCTGTTTCTTTACTTCTCCTTTCATTTTCAATCTAAACAATGAGAATGAAAATCACTTTCCCCTACTTTCTTTTTTTTTTAATTTTCATTGGAGTAATATCCTTTATCTTTTTTTTCCCTTTCATTTTATCAAACCAAAGCATGTTTGCTACCAAAATTGTATCCTGAACTTGAGCAAACTACACTATTTAATAATAAAGGGTCTATCTAACACTGGTGTCCATAGGGTACTCATTAAGATATATTTTAGATGCCATATTTTGAAATGTAAGATTAATTAGAATAAATAAATAAATACAAGATATAGTAGGTAAGATTAAAATAAGAAAAATATATAAATATAAGGGAATGTAATAATTTTTAGTATATGTGTATATATGATAGATTATGTGAATGTTAAATATGTTAATGAATGTCCTATAAACGCCCGTTAGAAAAACCCAATAACAAATACAAAGGAATCAAAATAGGTGCTTTTTCCTTTTTCTCTTTCATTGTAATTATCAGACGGGATCCTCTGTCCAATATTTTGTATCTACCTTCATGTTTAATGCAAAACTACGTAGTTTCACTTAATATATCTGCTGATGTGGTACATAAAAAAGAAAGATTGTTTAGCTGCCTTATGCTTCTTCTTCTTTCTTTTTTTTTTGAATTTCCTTTGTTTACACAACTTTGTTATAATTTCCAAAACCCTATTGCTACTGTTACAATTCCCAAAACCTGTTGCCACCGTTTTCTGCCTAGAAGACGAAGGAAGTTCCTCAACAAAACAAATTTTTTTCTTTCCGGTGCAAGGTAGCCAACAACCTTTCTTTTTTATGTGCCACATCAGCAAATATATTAGGTGAAGCTACGTTGTCAAAATTAATTCGGACCAATAAAAAAAAAGAAATTTCTCTATCTTTTCTTCATCTTTTTGAGCTGGCTTCTTTTGACTTTTCAGAACCCTCATGTAAGTGTACAAGTGACAGTTATAGGCGCCCCTGCTTTTGCGTACAAGAGACTGAAGGGAGAGAGAGTAGACTGGCATGGTTGACTTCAACAATATCTGGGCCGTCTCCAAGTATGATACTTGAGACTTCAGCCAGTGGGAAATAGAACCAATGGGCCTATTTGCAGGTGTTCACACTAAATTTTAAAGATTTTTCTCGGACGGATGTCTATTAGACACTTACTAGTATATTTAAACTACATCTAATTTATCATGTTCATGTGCATAGTTATTAATCCACATTTCAAAATTCAGACACTTTACTGAGTTAACTATACTTTTTCAAAAAATATATATATATATATACTTGAAACCTCTCTGAACGAGTGTCCATTAGGTATCCAATTAGTTGAACCGCTTAAATAATTGATTAATATTTTTATGTACTGACAAAAATATAATGATTTTTTTTATATTAACAGAAGGATGTATGGCATATGTGCATATTTTGAATTACAAATTTGAATTCATATCATGCGACACAATCTAAATTTGCTAATGTAAAAGAGATTGTGCATTCACAGAGAGAGAAGTCAAGTATGAACTTCAATTTGAGAGTTCGTGACCAAATTAAAATATTAGCTGAAGTCAACATAACAACTTCAAATTTCATACAAGTAAACGTAATTATGCCGCAAAGCTTAATAAACTGTTGGTCACATGGTGGAAACTATTAGCGTCCAAAATTGCGGAGTTGCTCATCCAATTCGTAAGATTCAGACTCAATCAATTGGCCAATTGATTCAAGCATTTTGGTTACATAGTTAACTTGAGAGCACAAGTTTGTAGTTGTATACGTGTATATTCCCCGAACTTGGGGTCTATATCATCAGATAATAAAGTTTACATCATAAACTTATGCCTTGTTTGGTAGGTAAGTTTTTTGCCAAGTTTATCTGCTACACGTTTTTTAAAAACTTTAGTTACAGTAATCTCAAAAAATTTCTCAAAATTTTTAAACTATACACTTCAAAATTTTTTTTAAAAACTTCTACAATAAGTTATAGTAAAATTTTAGACAAACACTCAAAAAACTCACTTGCCAAACGGGGCCTTAGTCCTATGTATCACTTTATTGAGCTATATATTGGTCCCCCCCCCTCCTCCCTCCCCCGCTATCTCTAATATGGTCAGATTTAGCTGTTGATATCCCAAAAAAAAAAGAAAGGACACATGTGCAAAAGTTGAATTTTAAATTCAAATTTTACATAGTTGTTACACTGTTAATGTAAAAAATATTAATCCTTTAATTTATAGTATAACACAATATTAACAAATTTGATATCTATTTCAAAATACATAGTTGTTTTATTTTTCCCCTTCAAACTGAATTAAAGTAAATTAATATCATCAACTTTTCTTTTTCTTTTCTGTACTAGATTTTTCAAATGAGGGGCATAAATTTCAGCACGCAAGAGTTTATCATCTGGAGATGATGCTAATTTTGACTACAACAAGTGGAAAAACAACGAAGAAGAGCACAATTAGACAGAGGTAAGAAACTGAAAGACTAACAACAATTGTGGACGGTGAAATTATAAATAATATTAAAATAAAAAAATGTGGTATATATTCTTAAGATGACGATAGGAAGCGAATTATAAAAATAGTTGAAACATCTGGTAACTATACAGTCATTATGTCAAAGGTTATTGGAATGATCTTAGAAATGAAGGAAAAATTGTAGTAATAATTCACACTAAAAAAGAGTCGTCTATGTTATACAACTACTAAGTTCATGACAATGATTAATTAATCTTTGTAAACGCTAGTGTTATTTTATAGTCTGAAATTTCACCATGACAATGTTCTTACGAGAGGGGATCATGTGCAAATTTTTAATTACGGTATAAATAATATTATATGAACACCAAATCATTGATGACAATATTGATGCTTTGTTTATCCAATCTTGATTCTACTCTCAATTCGTCTCTTATAATTATCTGTTTACATCAATTAACCGTAATCAGTAGTAAAGGGACATGCATTAGAGTGGAGCTTTCAAGATTAGATGGAATGAAAAGAAAAGTCGAAGTTTATTTATTATTCCTCGTTTATAAATAACTATTCAAATTTTTATGCCTAATACACCGTGAATAGTTCCAACAGTTAAATATTAACACGGTTTTCCATGAATTTTAGATAGTTTTAGGAATTGCTTTTTCATTGTTCTGTGACTAATATGACAACCGATAAAGGAATCGATTTCTTACTTTCTATTGTTTGCAATAGCTTCAATCCTATCGGTAAATTCAACGTTAATGATCACGGCGTATTCCGTTGTTTGAATCGATGAATTTGGATTTAAGAGAGGAATTGAAAAGAATGAATTTATGGGCCGCTTGGTTTGAGGGTTTTGGTGCGGGGATTGTAACGAAAATTGGAATATTGGAATCATGTCCAAAATTTTGGGAATTCATGATTTCCGACTAAATTGGGAGGAATCGTTCAAAACCCTCAACTTACTTTCAACAGTAAACAAATAAAAGAAAAAATATATTTTGTTAAAATACTTTATGAAGGGCTTTAATTGGATTGCATTGGATGGTGTTTCTAGCAGGAATCAGGATCAATGGAGGACGGAATTTGCTGTTTTCTTTTGAAACGTTTGAAAGTTCCCGTTGCAATTCTTTGAGAAAAGGAAAAGCAAAAGATAAACAGCTAGATCTTTCATTGATTAGTCATGAGTTTTTGTTGGTAATGGCTGGACAAAGAACAAAAAAAGATTTGGATTGTAAATGGTTCTGTAGTGGTCCAATGGCGGTCATGATTATTAGTCCAGCAAATACAATAATAATTTTTAAAAAAATTGGTTTTGATACCATTCCAATTATATTTATACAAAGTACCAGTCTTCCAAATGATACCAGGAGTTCAAACCCATGTTGATATTTTATATCTTATTCCATTTCCAATTTCAATCCTAGGGTGGAAACAATTCTAACAAACTGAACATCTTAATGTTCAAACTTGTTTGATTTATTTTAATGAGTTTGAAATTTTGTTTAAATTTGATTTGTTTATTCGTCAAATCGATTTTGAACGAGTTTTTTTTTATATCGAGTTTAAATACAAAACGCTGTTTAATCACATTCTGACTAGTTTGCGAACCAAATTTAAACGAACTCTTATCAAGTCGAGTTTGGTTAGAGTATTGAGTCATTTAATTCATCTTACCAATTCTAGAGCATGAAATGCATGGATTTGATATGCACATAATTCCAAATGCATATTGTTTGGTTAAAAACTTACTCATGATAAAACAGTTGGGGATAGAAACTGAATAAGTGAAAAACTCGAGGATTAAAACGACTTTTTAAATTTTGCTTCCTTCTTCCCATGAGACCATCAACGCCATCGAATTGATCTTTCTCAAACACGAAAGCCATATCAGTTTGAATTCCTCAAGTGACTTCCACTCCAGAAACTAGTCACTGTCTTCATTCATAGTCAGCTTTGCTGGCAACCACCAAATCTGGGACGGCAGTTCCGGCCCGGCGATAGGAGACATTGGTACCGGCGGCAGGGGGAGGCAATACCGCCGTCCAGTTTTCAATATCTACAGAAATGTGATTAGATTAGGGGAGAAATAGGGAGATTTGATGGAAGGGATTTGAAATGACATGTAGCTAGAGTGAATTTGAAATTCATCGATTTCAACACTTGAAATTTCTCCTGTGGCTTTAAAGATTTCAAATTCTCAACCAACAAATCTCTTCACCTGTTAGGATAAATTGTGAGAGATTTGGATTTGAAAATTCAGCAATGGCAGCAGGTGTTCCATTACTGAATCTAAACCCAATTTGTGACAAAATCTCAGCCACAAATTGCTATCAAATCCCATCTTGGGTTTCTCTAAAACCCAGCGTTGACCCACTCCAACATCAATATAGCCCCGCCCAAATTCAACCAGCTAATGCAGGAAAGCTCGAAAACATTCACTTGATTTGGCTCTCAAAACAGGGTAAGCTCAATGAAGCCCACCAGTTCCTCAAGGAAATGGACTCTGCTGGTGTTTCAGTCGCACCCAAAACCTACCAACATTTGCTTCGAACGTGTGCAAAGTTAAAATCTTTGCGCGATGGGAAACTGTTTCATAACAGGACACAGAGGAATTTCGATAATCCACCTGGGTTTCTTCAGAATTCTGTTATCGAAATGTATTTCGAGTGCGGGAGCATTTGGGATGCTCAGAAATTGTTTGACGAATTGCCGGAAAAAAGTCCAGGAAGCTGGGAGACCGTCATATCTGCTTATGCTGGTAAGGGTTGGATAGGAAAAGCACTAGAAATGTTTTCGAGAATGATGGGCGCAGGAATCAATGCTGGACCTTCAATTTACATAAGCCTTTTCAGAGCTTTGTCAGATTTAGAGCTTGGGAAGCAGATACACTGTCTTGTGGTAAAGTCAGGCTTTGATGAAAATGTGTCCATGAACACTGCTTTCTGCAATATGTATGTAAAATGTGGGTGTTTAGAGAGTGCCCAATGGGCTTTTGATAAGATGGTTGAAAAGAATGTGGTGACGTGGACTGGATTGATGGTGGGATTTACTCAGGCTGAGAGGCAACGTGATGCCCTGAGACTTTTTGATATGATGCTTAGGGACGGCATTGAGTTGGATGAGTTTGTGTTCTCAATCATTCTTAAGGCGTGTGCTGGATTGGCGGATGTTGGTATGGGGCAGCAAGTCCATGGATTGGTTGTGAAACTTGGATTGGAAAGTGAGGTTTCAGTGGGTACCCCTCTTGTGGATTTTTATGTCAAGTGTGCAAATTTGGGTTGTGCCGTTCAAACATTCGAGAAGATATCTGAACCAAATGATGTTACATGGAGTGCCATGATTGCTGGCTATTCCCAAGGTGGTGAATTTGGGAAGTGCTTTAGAGTTTTTAGGTCTTTGAGGAGTCAAGCTGGTGCTTTGAACGAATACATATACACTAGCATCTTCCAGGCATGCGCTGCTCTTGCAGACTTGAATCTTGGAACTCAAGCTCATGGAGATGCAATAAAACGAGGTCTGATTTCCTATCTTCACGGTGAAAGCACAATTATTTCCATGTATGCAAAATGTGGTCAACTGGATTGTGCATTTAGGGTATTTGATTCAATCAGTGATCCCGATACTGTGGCCTGGACTTCTATGATTGCTGCTTGTGCTTATCATGGTAATGCTCCTGAAGCTCTAAATCTTTTTAGGAGGATGCAGGCTTCTGCCGTGAGGCCTAATTCAGTTACCTTTATAGCAATTCTTACAGCGTGTAGCCATTGTGGATTGGTTGAAGACGCCAAGCGGTACATGGAGTCAATGAGCAGTGAGTATGGCGTTGACCCGACCATTGACCATTATGATTGTATCATTGATATACTTGCTCGAGCAGGGCAACTGAGTGAGGCACTAGCCTTGATAGAAGCGATGCCATTTGAACCTGATGCTATGAGTTGGAAAAGTTTATTGGGTGGATGCTCAATCTACCTGAATTTTGAGCTTGGAAAAGTTGCAGCTGAAAAACTGCTTCAGCTGGACCCCCACGACACTGCTGCATACATACTCATGTTTAATTTACATGCTTCGCGTGGGAAATGGGATGAAGCTGCATTTGTAAGACGGATGATGGCCGAGAGGGACCTGAAAAAGGAGGTCAGCTGCAGCTGGATTACAATCAGGGGCAAAGTGCATCGTTTTATTGTGGGTGATAGGCACCATCCTCAAACAGAAGAGATATACCAAAAGTTACGAGAATTAAAATTTTCTTGTGGTAGCTATGAAGATTCTGTCTTTACCACTGAAGAAGCTGCATCCAACAATTTGGTGGAACGAAAAGAACAGCTTCTTGATCACAGCGAGAGACTTGCAATCGCTTTTGGGCTAATTTCAACTCCAAATAATGCTTCTATTTTGGTGTTCAAAAATATCCGTGCTTGCAGAGACTGTCACGATTTTGCTAAACATGTATCATTAGTTACAGGGCGTGAAATTATTGTTAGAGATGCCAGCAGATTTCATCACTTCAGGTGTGGGGAATGTTCTTGTCGTGATTATTGGTGAACTTTAGGACACTGAAGTTTCACCCTTTAGCACCAGCAGGCTTGCACATAATTTCCTCCCCTGTAAATTGTCAGTCCCTGCTTTTAGTCCAGACCCTGCACCCTACCCCACCTCTCTTCCCCACAATATACAGATATACAAAGTTACACATCTTCTGGAATTGTAAAACCGTCAGATCATTTGGTTATTCAATTTTAGATTGGTTTAATTGGAATTGTGATATTAGTTAGGTACAGAGTACTCTTTGTGCAAGTTTAACCTGCTAGTGTTAATGTTCAAAAATGTGTTGGAAATGATTGATGCAACAGTAATGGACAGATTCTCTCCGTCACGGTTAGAATTAGACCGATCTGCCAATTCCCTTTTTTTTTCTCGAAACCTTTATGGTAGGAAGCCTTTGACCATTCCTACAATAGGCAGTCACTCACAGCATGACACGTGTTGGAGTTGGATGGAGTGTAAACGGAGACGTTAAATTGTGGAAGAGCTCGTGAAGAGTAAACATTAAATTTTAGTCTGTGGCTACAAGCAAAAAAGCACACGTTCTCCCGTTTTCCAATGTAGTAGGTTGAGTCAGGGAAGGGTAATTGCAGGTCAGAACCACCGGCATTTATGCATTTGCAAATGAACCCGATAGCAACGGAAAAATACTGCAAATGCCTTCCACAAAAAAATATGCGTAACAAAGGTACTGAAGTTTTAATAATTAATAAATGTAAATGTCACACGTGTCAGGGATAATAACTTGAAAGAAGGAAAAGTGGAGCAGAGGTAAACGTAATAATTCCACGGCAACGCGAAACACAAAGAGATTGAAGCCTTCATTATATTTATATACATATATAAATTTAGTACTCAAGTGTTCAGCTTAAGCATCCGGGAAAATGGTCCCATAACTATCGTTACGGTAAACAAAACAGTTTTAAACATAATATAATAGGTTCTAAAAATTTTAGCGACCATTTGATTACCCGTTAGACCTATCCACTTAAATAGGATTATGGGTAAAAATAAGGAAGTAAATTTCTCATCTAAAATAGTAAATTGACATAATAAATTAGTAACTTTGCAGTCCAAAAGGTAAATTGTGAGTAATATGAAACATACTTTTTAAAGAGATAAATTACAATAGTATATCCCAAATATACTTTTGAGGGAGTAAGTTTATTTGAAGTAAAAGTATGTTTTTATACATAAATAGTGATTTTTACTAATAACATAGTAAATTTGATTAATGACAAAAACATGCTAATTTATGGCCAAAATATTGTATAATGCTTAAAAAACTTATACGAAGCCCATATTTTAGTGTTATTTGAAATAACACTAAAATGTATTGTTAATGATTAAAACTGAGTACGTTACTTAGTAAGTACTGTTAATATACTTGTATACATACTTGATCGTATGTGAATAAACAAGTATTTTTGAAATTTATAGGGAAATTAATTTTTTCTTTTGCAGTTTAAAAAAAAAGTAAGCGAAAATCTTTTTTCTCGGAGCACAAAAATCCACAAGTTAAAGTAGTTGGTCTAAAAGGGAAAGAAACATTCTGAATATCATTGTTTACAATACTAAGTAAATTAGATGTAAAATGCTCGTTAAACGCAAGTGCATTGACATAAAATAAAGGAAAACCATAAAGAGCAGGCCATTTACGGGAAAAGTTATCATTCATAAAAATAGCAACGCTTCACAGTTTTCTTATCAGTCTTGCAACGTATGAGCAAAGTGGTAATAATTAAAATAGTATTTTTTTTATTTATACATATTTCATTAATTTTTTTTGCATTTAAAAAAATGAATGAAAATGTTTTATGAGAAAGCACATAAGTCAAAAGGAATGGTCTAAAAGGGAAAAGAATAGCAGATACGCACAGTACTTGTAGTTCATGTTCGAAGGACTATAGGGCTGTTTTTGAAAAATATCCCGAAAAATATGTAATCCAAATGGAACCGATTCTTCACTATTTAAAATGTCAAATCTGTGATTGTATTTTAACTGTTATCCATTGGTATCCTAAAGTGTCATTTTCCCATCAAATGCCATCTCTTTAAAGATGTTTTCCCATAAACAAATTTATTTAGCGGATAAAATACATAAAAATTCATTTTTCAATAAAACACTAGCTCTTTATGACTTTCTTCCATTATAAGAACAAAGTACCTATTTTTTCATAAACAAATTTATTTATCGGCTGAAATAAAAATAAATTCATTTTTTTAATAAAACACTAATTCTTTATGGCTTTCCTCTATTATAAAAATAGAGTACCCATTTTACCCCCTCTAGAAAAATTTTAGCCCCAGTGTAGAAAAAAAATCTTGGCTTTGTCACTGACTGAAATGTTTGTAACTGAGATTTATCCATGGTGAATGTATGATACATAATTTTTTCACTGTATTCAATTTATATGATGACAAATTAAATGGGTCAATTGGATTAGTGGCATCAGTTTTGTGAATGATTATGAGAGTAAACTATATTATGACAATAAAATACATTGAATTGTGAAAATTATAATTTAAACATGCTCATAAATTTTGGATATATGACTTTCGTTGTTGCAAATTTCTTAAATTAACAATTAATTATTACTATGAGTAATGTGGTAAGTGTGAGATGTGAATGTCAGTAATAACTGTTAGTTATTACTATCAGTAAAGTCACCAGTAAATGTGAGACATTAATTGGAATTTGCAGATATCATTTTACATGGGTGGTTATTATTTGTTAATTAAAATTTAGGAGTTTTAATTTTATGGGTTAGTGGGGAAAACGTAAGGGAAATGTGGGAAAAACATGAGCATGAGTATAGGATTTGTACGAACAGTTATAGGATTAGTTGTGACATAAACATTTCTTAATTTTAGAAATGTAAAATTATAATAAAATAGTATTCAGACTTTTGACAATTTGGAAAGCTCCTTATCCAAAATTCCCTCTGCAATACATATTGATAGATATAGATGTCTTTTTTTTAGTGGTTCAATCTCATATTCGTGAACTATCTGCACAAAAACATAAAATTCTAGACTATACTAATTTTGTTATACCAACTCTATTATTCTTATTATTGTATTAATTGTTATGCTATTTCTCTCATTTTGTTAGGTCTACATTAATACAAGTTTAATTCTTATTATGTCTCGTGTTCCAGAAAATACAAATTATCCTATTTAGGTGGATACATCCAACAGATAATCAAATTGATGCTAAAAATTTAGAATGAATAAATTGCTTTTGCATAACGGTTGTAAAGGTTTCTTGAGACTTTATGAATTAGGTGTCTTGTGTTTGCAAAAAGAATTTCTAGCATATTTTTGTAATGGAAATGGACTTAAAACTTGCTATAGGTTATTTTCCTGTATTTCAATTTTATCGTAAAGGGTAATTTGCTGTTCAACCTAATTTTATTCTGATTTTATCCAACTAATAAATTAACTTACGAAAATAGATAATTTATGGGGGAAAGCCATAAGTAGCTGGTGCTTTATTGAAAAATGGATTTATTTTTATTTTATCCAATAAATAAATTTGTTTATGAAAAATGGGTACTCTGTTCTTATAATGGAAGAAAGTCATAAAGAGTTAGTGTTTTATTGAAAAATGGTATTTTATTTTGTCCGACAAATAAATTTTTTAATGGAAAAATGGGTACTCTGTTGTTATAATGGAGAAAAGTCATAAAGAGCTAGTGTTTTATTGAAAAACGGGTTTATTTTTATTTTATCCGATAAATAAATTCTTTTATGAAAAAATGGGTACTCTGTTCTTATAATGGAGGATAATCATAAAGAGTTAGTGTTTTATGAGAAAATGGATTTATTTTTATTTTATCCGATAAATAAATTGGTTTATGGAAATACGGGTACTGTATTCTTATAATGGAGAAAAGCCATAAAGAACTAGTGTTTTATTGAAAAACGGGTTTATTTTTATTTTATCCGATAAATAAATCATTTTATGAAAAAATAGGAACTCTATTCTTATAATAGAGGAAAGTCATAAAGAGCTAGTGTTTTATTCGAAAATGGATTTATTTTTATTTTATCCGATAAATAAATTGCTTTATGAAAATATGGGTACTCTGTTCTTATAATGCGGGAAAGCCATAAAGAGGTAGTATTTTATTAGAAAACAGATTTATTTTTATTTTATCCGATAAATACATTTTTCTATGCAAAAATGGGTACTCTATTCTTATAATGCAGGAAAGCCATAAAGAGCTAGTATTTTATTGAAAAACGGGTTTATTTTTATTTTATCCTATAAATAAATTTTTTAATGGAAAAATGGGTACGCTGTTCTTATAGTGGAGGGAAGCTATAAAGAGCTAGTGTTTTATTGCAAAATCGGTTTATTTTTATTTTATCCAATAAATAAATTTTTACAGGAAAATGGGTGTTAAAGAGGTGGTATTTGATGGAAACATGATACTTTAGGATACCAAAGGACAACAGTTAAAATACAATCACAGATTTGGTATTTTAAATAATAAAGAATCGGTTCCGCTTGGATTACATATTTTTTGGGGTATTTTTCAAAAACAGCACTGTAGTACATATCTGCTATTCCTTTCCCTTTTAGACCAATTCTTTTGACTTATGTGCTTTCTGATAAAAAATTTTCATTTTTTTAAAATGCAAGAAACAATTTAATTCTGTATAAATCGAAAAATTTACTATGTCAACTATTGGCACTTTGCTCATTCTTTGGAGGTCTGATAAGAAAGCCGTGAAGAGTTGGTATTTTTATTATGAGAATTTTTTCCATAAATGGCCTGCTTTTTATGACTTTCCTTTATTATATGTCAAAGTACCAGGTTTTAACCAACATTTTACATCTATTTGTTTAGTACTTTAAATAATGATATTTAGTTGTATCCTTCCCTTTCAAACCAACTATTTTGACTTGTGGATTTTTGTGCTCTGCGCAAAAAAAATTTCGCTTACTTTTTTTTAAACTGCAACACAAAAAATTTAATTATGTATAAATTTCAAAAATATTAATTTATTCACATACGATCAAGTATTTATACAAGTATATAAACAGTACTTACCAAGTAAGGTACTCAGTTTTAATCATTAATAAAACATTTTAGTGTTATTTCAAATAACAATAAAATATGGGCTTGGCATAAGTTTTTTAAGCATAATAGAATATTTTTGCCACAAATTAGCATGTTTTTGTCATTAATCAAATTTACTATG